AATAGTTAATCTTGCATTCCAGGAACAGAAGACCCTAGGATCATCAAAAGGGAAGAACAGGAGGAATGGACCAGGAGATCCTAAACAGAGAAGAGTGATCCCAGAGATGGAGGCAGAGGTAATGGCATGAAGAGATAGAACAGTTTAGGACTCTAGACTCAGGAAAAGAGAAAAACTGAGTGCTAAAAGGCAGTAGGCTGGCTTGCAGAATGTGCCCTTTGGTTGTTTAAAGGATTGTATATTCCTATTTGTTTTTTATGTATATCATGGGAGAAAGGGGAGAGAATAGAGGCCAATATTGTTGACTTATGGTGCATGGAGGGGATTGTAATCATTGCAATGAAGCAAAGTGTGATTGGTTGAGTGCAAAACTGACTTCCTGTAATGTAAAGTATCAGTTAATTCATAATAAAAGCTTTAAAAAAGAAGATGAGATCAGGAAAGGAAAAGCATAGAGTCAAAGAGCTGCTGGAAAAAAATTTCCTAACATGACTTGGTCATGATGTATTATTTTCTTGATAGGCTGTTGAAGTCTATTGACTAGTATTTTATTGAGAATTTTTGCATCTATATTCATGAAGGATATTGGTCTATAATTTTCCTTTTTTATGATGTCCTTGCCTGCTTTTGGTATGAGGGCCATACTTCATAAAATGTATTTGGGAGTTTTTCATCCTTTTTTATATTCTGGAATAATTTGAGTACAATTGGTGCCAACTCTTCTCTGACTGTTTGGAAAATTCAATACTAAAGCCATCTAGGCCTGGACTTTTTATTGTTGGGAGGCTTTTAAAGACCTGATCAATTTCTTCCTTTGTTATAAATCTGTTCAACTTTTCTAATTCACTCTGTGTTAGTTTAGGTAGGTTGTGCTTTTCTAAAAATGTATCCATTTTCAAATTTGTGGGAGTACAACTCTTCCTAGTATTCTATTATTATTATTATTATTATTATTATTATTCCACTGGCTCTGTTGCGAAGCCATCCATATCATTTCTTATACTATTTTCTTAGTCTCCCCCTTTATTTTGTCAGATTTGCCAATGATTTGTAAATTTAATTAATCCTTTCAAAGAACCAACTTCTTGTCTTGTTGATTCTTTCTATTGTTTTTCTATTTACTAATTCATTTATTTCTGCCCTAATCTTTATCATTGCTTTTCTTCTGGTGACTGTAGGCCTACTTTGCTTGTCTTTTTCTAACTGTTGGAAATGGTGTGCTAATGAGTTAATTTGGGCTTTTTCTTATTTTTGCAAGTGTGTATTGCTATAAATCGAAGATTATTAACTCTTGGGCATTCAGGCAGCACTTCACATTATGAAGGAATGCTGCTGTTGTTGCTGTTGTTAGATGCCATAGAGTCAGTTCTGACTCATAGTGACACTAAACACAACAGAAGTAAGCACTGTTTGGTCCTGAACATCCTCACAATTATTGTTAAACTTGAGCCCATTGCTGTTGCCACTGTGCCAATCCATCTCATTGGGGGTCTGCATCTTTTTCACTGGTCCTTTATTTTACCTAGCATGAAGTCATTCTTCAGAGACTGGTGTCTCCTGATAATACGTCCAAAGTATGAGACATGAAGTCTCACCATCTTGGCTTCTAAGGAGCATTCTGGTGGTACTTCTTCAAATATAGATTTGTTTGTTGTTCTAGGAGTCTATGGTACATTTAATATCCTTTTCCAACACCATAACTCAAGTGTATCAATTCTTTCTATGGTCTTACTTATTCATTGTCCAATAGTCACTTGCATATGAGGCTATTTCACCACTTGTTTGTTAGTTTGTCTTATTGTGGTGACTTGAAAGCTATGTGACTAGAATTTTAAATGCCAGCTGGGTAACTCATGGTGGACAGATTTCACCTGAGCTTCCAGACTAACATAGACTACAAAGACGGAGAGACAGACTACTTCTGAATATTTAGTCACCGAAACTTTATGAAAAGCATGGAACACTGTCAGATAGCAGTATAATATTGAATATTGAAACATGAAGAGCGCCAGAATATTGTCAGATACAGTGCTGGAAGATGAGCCGCTCAGGATGGAAATCATTCAAAATATGTCCGTGAGTGAGCTCTCCTCAAAGTAGAGTTGACTGTGATGATGCAAATGAAGTAAAACTTTTGGAACCTTTGATGCTGAAGGGCACTATTCAAAATGAGGAGAAATAGCTGTAAACATCCATTAATAATCATAACATGGAATGTATGAAGTATGAATTTAGGAATACTGAAAATTGTCAAAAATGGAATGCAATGCATAAAGGTTTCTATCCTAAGCATTAGTGAGCTGAAATGGACTGGTATTGGCCATTTTTAATCTGACAACCACATGGTTTACTATGCCAGGAATGACAAATTGAAGAGGAATAATGTCACATTCATCATCAAAATGAGCATTTCAAGATCTATCTTGAAGTACAACACTGTTTGTAATAAGATACTATCCATATACCTACAAGAAAGACCTGAATCCTGGTGTGGTGCTGTGGTCTAAAGCACTGGACTGCAAGGTTCATTTAAACCACAAGGTCGATGGTTCAAATTCACCAGCAGCTCCTTGGGAACCCTATACAGGATCACTATGAGTTAGGACGGACTCAATGGCACTTAACAACAATAGCAATAAGGAAGACCGGCTAATAAGACTATTATTTAAATTTAAGCACCAACCACTAATGCCAGTGATGATGAAATTGAAGAATTATTTCAACTTCTTCAGTCTGAAAGCGATTAAACGTGTAATCAAGATGTATTGATAATTACTGGTGATTGGTAGGCAGAGGTTGGAAACAAAGAGGAAGGATCAATTTTTGGAAAATATGACTTAGGTGATAGAAACGATACTGGAGATTGCATGATAGAATTTTGCAAGAACACTGATTTCTTCACTGCAAAGACATTTTAAAAAAAACTTTTTATTGTGAATTGAGTGCAGGTTTGCAGAGCAGATCATCAGTTTTACATTCAACAAATCATTAACTTTGCTTCAATACATGATTGAAATCCCCTGCGTGCAGCAACAGTTAACAGCATTGCAAAAACCTTTTTTAAACAACATATGTGCATGGACCACAACAGATGGATTACACAGAAATTAAATTGACTGCATCTGTGGAAAGAGACACTGGAAAAGTTCCATATAATCTGCTAAAACAAGGCCAGGGGCAGACTATGGAACAGACCATCTATTACTCATACTCAAATTCAGGCTGAAGCTGAAGAAAATTTAAAAAATAAATCAAGTCCATGTAAATAAAAAAATTAACTTTGGAAAAACCCCACCTGAATTTTAGAGATAATCTCAAGAACAGATTTTATGAATTAGACAATAATGACCTAAGATCAGAAGAGTTGTGGGATGGCATCAAGAACATCATATAGAAAGGAAGCAAAAAGATCATTAAGAAAACAAGAAAGAAGGAAAAGACCAAAATAGATGTCAGAAGAGACTCTGAAGATTGCTCTCCAGTGTAGAGATGCTAAAGCAAATGGAAGAAATGAGGAGGTAAAAGGGCTGAATAGAAAAATTTAAAGGACAGCTCATGAAGACAAAGTAAAATACTTTAATGAAATGTGCAAAGACCTGGAGTAAGAATGCCAAAAGGGACGAACACAGCTCAGCATTTCTCAAGTTGAGGGAACTAAAGAAAAAAATTCAAGCCTTTTCTTGCATTGTTGAAGGATTCTATAGGCAAAACTTTGAATGAAGCAGAAAGTATCAAAAGAAGATGAAGGAATACACAGTCACTGTACAAAAAGAAATCAATGTGCAGCCACTTCAAGAGATAGCATATGATCAAGAGCCAAAGAGATTGAAGGAAGAAGCCCAAGGTGCACTGAAGGCATTGACAAAGAACAAGTTCAGGAATTTATGGAATACAAATTGAAATTCTTCAACAAACTAATTCAGTACTGAAGGCACTTACTCATCTATGCCAAGAAGTTTGGACGACATCTACCTGGCCAACAGATTGGAAGAGATACATATTTGTTCTTTGTTCACTGTTAATGAAGTTCAGTTTAGGATGGATTTGGCTGATGTTGGTTGTTTCTGCTGATCCACTGTATAGCAGCTGGTGTTGCTTCTTGCCCAACTGGTGGGACTGTAGATGGTATGGTATGGCTGCAATTGCTGTCTCCTGTAAGTTTAGGCAAGAAGAGAAGACACACAAAAGAGAGAAGTAAAACAAATACAAACTAGCAAACAACTAAGAAAAAAAGAACATAGTAAAGAGAAAGAAAAAAGAAAAAAGCAGGCAACACCTAGCAAAAGAATATAAACACCAAAGAGAAAAAGGAGGGAGAGGAAAATAATACAATAAAAAGAAAAAGATAAACGAGAGACAAAAAAGCACAAGCAGAATGTAGGACCCTATCCAGAAAAGCAGCAATACCAGAGATGGAGGCAGAGATGATGATATGGATAGATAGAGCAGTTGAGGACTCTAGACCCATGGGAAGAGAAACGCTGTGTGCTGATAGCCAGGAGGTAGGCTTGCAGAATGGGCCCTTTCGTTGGTTAAATGATTATATATATTCCTGAGGGTTTTTGTGCACATCCAAAAAAAGAGAGAACAGAGGGAATAGAAGCAAATACTATTGAATGAAGGTGCATGGAGAGGATTGTAATCACTGCAATGAAATGATGAGTGTAAAACCTTTGTTCTTCTATATGATCTATAACTCAAGTCACAATAAAAACTTTTTTTAAAAAAGAGAGAGAGAGAAAGAAAGAAACACAATTAGGGAGAGTAATGAGTAAAAGGGAAAGAGACCAGAGAGTAGTTGATTAATTGATTAATTAAAGAGGGATAAAAAATCAGTATAAAGAAGCTGAAAATAAAGAAGAAAAAAATGAAAGGAGAAATAGGAGAGAAAACAAGAGATACAAAGGCAAGGGAGAAAGAATAAAGAAACAAAAACAATGAAAGAAAAAAAAAAATAGGGCAGGCAGCAGTGGTGGCTCCCTCAACTGCAAATAACAAAGTCACCATGATTCTTCAGCAGCTCCTCAGGTTTTCCTCTGTCATTTGGTTCGCAGCCTCAGTCCATTTGTGGAAGAACATTGGTGTTACAGCAGTGGCATTTAAAAAGGAACTCGATCCTACACAGAAACTTTTTGTGGGCAAGATTAGAGAATACAAATTTAAGCAGCAGGCATCTGCAGGACCTGTTGATACTGGCCCAGAATATCAGCAAGAGCTGGAGAAGGACATTTTTAAGCTTAAGCAAACGTATGGTAAAGCAGACATAAATACCTTCCCTAACTTCACATTTGAAGATACCAAATTTGAAGTTGTTGAGAAACCTCAGTCCTGATGCAATACACAAAATTGATACTATAATTTGTCATGAATTCGTTGTACAATTAAGCAGTGATCAGAATTTGCATATTGCATAATTTAAAAAAATAGGGCAGGTGTCAGATGCAGAAAGAAGAGAATTCTGGGATCTCCTGCCAGCTGTGGATCTCACATCATGAGTGGGTAAGGGATACGACAGGAACACTCAACCCTAGATTGAGTTCCTTTAGGACTAGGTTTTGTTTGTTTTGTGTACCCAATCTATAAGTAGTTTGTGTAGACTCTAAAACAACTGGGTTACCAGGGTATTTTCATCCCGGGGGTTGGGGACCAAGAGTGAGATGTCCTTCTAGTCTATGGCTGACCAGGCAAGGCTCTGCAGGTCTGGAATAGGCCACACCAGATTTCAAGTGCCAGGTTGGTGCTGTCAGCTTCCCACACTCTCTGATGCAACTTTGACAGCCCAGAAAGCAGGAGCTTCCTTTGATTTATATGGATAGGAGCCAGCCACATCTATTTGTCTCTGCGAGCCACAGGTATGTTTCTGCAATGCTGATAAATTTTCTGATATTTAAAGCTGCTCATGAAAGCTAAAGATGGCTGCATCCATCTGGTTTCTGGCTCATATAACCAATCTATCCTTTATTTGCCATATCTGTTTAACTCGCTCCTAATAAGCTCCTAATAAGTAAGTCTACTTCTCTATCCCTTCCTCTGAAGCTCAGAGTTCCTGGGCTATCATCTGCATCTGTTTCATTTGGTTATCTGTGTCTTTTTTGTAGAGGGTCCATATAGCCTTTCTTCCCAATCCGCCATCTTGTTGCCTCTCCTCTTTACATGCACTTTTTGTGTAATCTTCACAATAACCTCTAATAGCAGTAATAACAATAATCTATGAGTGGATTTATAGGTAGACGCTTAAGCTGACCAGGTTTGGGAAGACAAATGGGAAGACACTCAATAATACATAGGTTTGAAAGCATATATTTCTACATATATATTTATATGTACTATAAATATAGTACAACATACAATGAGCCAAGTTATGAAAACTTCTTTGCCATATCCAAATATCTTGAGAGAATGAGTCACTGGATCTTAGGACAATAGAATCAGGGACATAGTAAGGGGAACATCAAGGTCAATTGGCACAACATAGTCCACAAAGAAAATGTTATACATCCTACTTTGGTAAATATTGATTGCCCTTACAAACTTATGAGCAGCACTTTAAGATGCAACTATTAGTCTGTCCTTGTCCAGAGGAAAGAAGGGTGAAGAAATCAAAGATTCATGTAAGCAATTAGCTCAAAGTAGTAATGGACCTCATGAGTCTCCTTGTGATGACCCTGAGACCAGAAGAATTAGGTAATGCCTGGTTTCCCTACCAAATGCTCTGAAAGGGATCACATTAGAAGGTCTTTGATAGAATGGGAGAAAAATGTATAACAAAACTCAAAATCACAATACAACAACAACAGGCTAACTGATCAAATAACAAGTGGTGAAACATCCAAAATATTAGCAATTAGTCATCCTACCAGCCAGGAACTGCTCTCACTCCATGGCTTAAGATCAAAACAGTAACAGCTTTTTCTTAAGGACAAAGTTCAGAAGGCAGGAAGGGGTAGGAAAGAAGGGAGAATAAAAATGGGAAACACAGGAAGAACTGGGATGAGTAATATTACAGTATGGTGATTGCAATCAATGGCTTGAAACAAAATGCTTATCAACTGATGAGTGGAAAATGGATTTTCTTTTTAATCTTTCATATGTCACAATAAGAAGTTAAAAAAATCATTTATTGACTCCTACTTGTTGCAAGTACTGTGCGCCAAATGGAAAGCTAAGTATAGCATATTATATTATTTCTTTTCTTTGGTTTGATGCTATTTTTCCAAAAAAAAACCAACGGGATGATTTATTGATTTGGTTTGATGCTATTTTTCCAAAAAAAACCAACGGGATGATTTATTGAATTTTTCCAAAAAAAACCAAAGGGATGATTTATTGAATGTAATGTAATTTTGCCTATACACTTTCAATTCACAATAAAAAATTTAAAAGAAAAAAAAAAAGTCTTCGACAACTTTTATCTTTTCTCCATTTATTAAGATGTCATTTATTTGTTCAGTTGGACCACTTGTTGTTTTGTTCTCTGCCACAGCCACACTCATTGCTGCATCTATGCCTTTTTTAGGCATCTCCACCTTCACCAGCTGTACCTTACAATTAGTTGCCTCCTGCACTAGCCACTTCTGTCAATTCAGTTACTGCTTGCTCGAACTTTCCAATACTTTGACCTTTTCCCCATAACCTCTAATTTCTCTTAACAACCAAGCCAAATTTTGTTAAAAGTTTGTCATATGCATGTATTTATATGAAAACTTTTTTTGGGGGGGGGCTTTAAATATGTAAGGAATTTATTAGTACTAGTCCTGGTGTGGCGCTGTGGGTTAATGCGCCAGACAACAAAGCTATTTGAACTGCAAGGTCGGTGGTTCAAGCTCACCAGCTGCTCCTCGGAAACCCTATACAGGGTTGCTGTGGGTTGGAACTGACTCAGTGGTACTTAACAACAACAACAACATTGTAACATAGCAAGGAATCTCAAAGATGACAGTGCAAAGCTGGTGAAACAGCTCAAGGTGAACATTAAGAAATCAGGTGGCTTCCACCTACCTACTCAATCATCCTTAGCATGTTGTCTTAATGTTGTCTGTAAGATTTTCCCACTTCTAGGCATTGAGTCTTGATTCCAGGTGAAAAAAGAAGAGTAAATATGAAGGGCAGATAGTGAATGCAGCTGACCCTATCCTTTTTTCCCTGGGAAAACAAAAATGCTAGCGATCTCAACTAATAGATTTCTGCTCCCATCTTATTGATTGTTATTCTTCTTGTTAGGTGCCATCTAGTTGTTTCCACACGTGTTAAACACAAAGAAACATTGCCCATCCCTGCGTTATATTCACAATTGTTATGTTAGAGTCCATTGTTGTTGCCACTGTGTCAATCCATCTCATTGGGGGTCCTTCTGTTTTTCATTGACCCTCTACCAAGTATGATGTCATTCTCCAGGCATGGTCAAAGTATAAACGAGGAAGTTTCACCATCCTGGCTTCCAAGGAGCAATCCTACTGTTTTTCTTGCATAACAGAATTTTTTGTTTCCCGAAATGCTATGATATGTTCAATATTTCTCTCAAACAACATAATTCAAATGCATCAATTCTTCTCCAGTCTTTTTTATTCATTGTCCAGTTTTCCCATGCACATGAGGCAATTGAAAAATACCATGACTTGGGCCAGGTTCACTTAAGTCCTCAAAAAGATATCTTTGCTCTTTAACACTTTAAAAAGGTCTTTTTTTTTTTAAATGTTTTATTGTGAATTATGTGATAGTTTACATGGGAAAACATTAGTTTTACATTCGTTCTATCATATATCGTTTCATTGCCATGGTTACAATCCCCTCCATGCATCATCAACCAACCAAAGGGTATACCCTACAAGCCTGCCCCTCGGTCATCAGCACACAGCCCCTCTCCCTCTCTGTGTCTAAAGTCCCCAGTCACTCCATCTCTCCATGTCATCATCTCTGCCTCCATCTCTGGCATCACTGCTTCTCTGGGTAGGGTCCTGCTCTCTGCTCTTTTCCCTTGATGGTCCCAGGGACCTCCACTCCTAGACTGAAAAGTTAATCACTTCCTTCTTAAAAAGGTCTTTTGCAGCACATTTTCCTAATGCAATATTAATTTCTGGACTTCTGCTTCCTTGAGTATTCATTATGGATCCAAGTAAAATTATATATTTGACAACATTAATCTTTTCCCCATTTATCATAATGTTATTTATTGGTTCAGTTGTGACGACTTTTGTTTCTTTTCATTAAGGTGCAATCCATAATAAAGGTTCTGGTCTTTGATCTTCATCTGTATTTCAGGTTCTCTTTGCTTACAGCTTTCAGCAATCAAGGTATATCATTTGAATATTGTAGGTTGTTAATGCGTCTTCCTCCAAACCTAAATACCTGGTTCATCTTCATACAGTCCAGCTTCTTGAATTATTTGCTCAGAATAAGTATGGTGAAAGGTCACCTTTGGAATGGGCACAATACGGATTACTTTAAATCTGTTAGCCAGGTACCTGTCTCCCAAATTGCTTGGCATAGATGAGTGAGTGTTGCCTGTGAGTTTTCTGTGGCCATTACCTCAGATTATTGCAACTAGCAGAGAAGTAAGAATGTGATAGGAAGGATGGATAAAGGAAAAAGAATGTTGAAGGGTAGAGGCATGTCTGACCTTTGCCTCATAGGCATCAACCATGAACTGAGTTTTTGAGTTTGATTCTCCTTTCTGAGGCAGGGAGAAAAGAGGGTCCATAAAAAGGATTAAAATGGGCCATTTACTAACTAAAATGCTATGACCAAATTTTTAAGATATGCTGAGGACTGTGCCACCCACTTCTTTTGCTTGAACTATTATAAAGATGTGCAGGACATACCTAGTGTGCTTAGCTGAGCAGCTGTCTCCTGGAATGAATGACAAGAATGTTTTATGGGCTTAACAAACCTTCTTAAAAGTGTCTTACAGAAGTGACCATCTGCAGACCTGTCCTTGAAACAAGCAGCAGTGTCTCCAGCCCTTACTTCTGTATGACCTCCAACTGAGAGCAGCCAAGCACCTCATACCCAGCATGGGATTAAAACTGCAGCCCGAAAACGGATCGTGTGCATGCCACCTCTTAATATGTCCTCCCAGATGCCTTCACGGCCAACTCCATCTTGAACAGAACCAACTCTATTCTGAACACTTACTACTCACTACCCTAGCCCAATCATAATAAACATGAAAAAAAATCCCGCTTTTCCTGCCCAAGAATCCTTTAATGATCCCAACCAAACAAAGATTCCAGGAGTCAAGGGCTAGCCTTGTAAATGCTTCCTCATTTCCTCTGGTCAGATCTTTTCCTCTCAATAAATCTTTAAATCTATTACTTGTGAAATTCTGTCTGTCTA